GCAACTCATTTTTATCATTAATATATATGTGACCTTGTTTATCAAATAAATAACTATTGCACCATCGCTCGTAGCTTAGCTACTCCGTCGTGCACTGATCGATGATTGGGAGAACATATCTTCGGAACGTTCATCTTAAACGTCCTGCATCAGGAAGAATGCGCTAATAAGATTTTTGGAAGTGATCAGCGAAACGGCTTGCTGGTCCTTCACAACGGCTTGTCTTTGTATAAGTTCAGACTCTGCGCATCGATGTCAACCCTGTATCGTACAACCGGTACCATGTGTTGTATGCGTGATGTGTGTACGTTGCACCTCTTCCACAACAGAACCAGAACCGTCAATATATATGTCACAAGCAAATTTCGTCGTATATTTGGTTTGTTCATGTGTAATTGTCTCGTATACAAATATCTAGATCAAATAGAGGGTAGTTTCGTTAATCTATCCTTTCATATTGAACACGTGTGTACATGTCTTTAAAATTAGTTTTTGAGATACAAATAGATTGGTGGACCTATCCAGTATTCGGAAAAAGATGAAAAAGGAGAAATTAAGTCCAAGATGGATAAACGTACGCAGCGTCTCGACCAATAAGAATCGAAACACGTACGCAGAGACGACTGAGCTAGCTCGCTCAAAATTCAAATTCCACAGCCGATTTCAACCCAACGCACGCGCTTGTACGTACGCGTGTACACGACGCGTACATGTGCTAATTAACTCCCCGTGATTAATTTGACCGCTGAATCGGCGCGCTACGTTTAAATTAAATTATTTCTACCGCGAGACGGCGACGACGACGTACGTACGTACGTACGCGTGTACTGGTGTACATCTATTCATTCGCCCGATCGATCGATCGCAACTTTGCCGCTTCCAACGAAAGTTCGGAACTAACGTAGCCAATTCAACGAGCTGGAGTATACTAACGATCCAAGAGACTTGGTCACCGGTCGTTCTTTTCTTACTAACCTCGTTTTCCACTGCACCGAGTAAATTAACCAGTCGATGGCCGGATGCATGTGTGCTTGCTGCACAAGTTGGGCGCGCGGCTGGATTACCTGGATATAGATCATCAAATGCCTGGATCTAGAAGCTTATACTCCCTCCGTCCCTAAATACTTAACACCGTTGACTTTTTTAAACATGTTTAACCGTTCGTCTTATTTAAAAAAATTGAGTAATTATTAAAAAAAATTTCTATCATTTGATTTATTGTTAAATATACTTGTATATGTATACGAATAGTTTTACATATTTCACAAAAGTTTTTTGAATAAGACGAACGGTTAAACATGTTTAGAAAGTCAACGACGTCAAATATTTAGGGAAGGAGCGAGTATTATCTAAGTGAGGGCAGATATATATGGATGATACTAGTACTAGATTATTAAGACTCTATGACAAATATTTTAGTGGCTTAAACAAATAAATTAAATATTGAAAAGTTAAGAATTAAATGGAATTGAAAGAGTATTTCAATAATCGTTAATGAAAAATATAAAAAATATATTGTTTACTGATTTGAAAAGAGTGTTCACAATAATCCATAAATATAAGATTAATTCAGTGTTTAAGATTTATTCACAAATATAAGCGTTCAAAAGTACTATTTTCTCATCAATAATCTGTTATTTGAATTTCTTTTCGTTCCACCCAAACTATCCTCTCGGTCTCACCTCCATACGTCTCTTATTTATTGAGAGGCATTAAAATCTTTATTTTTCTTAAATTTGAATTCCTGTTAAACAATCTAGTAATGCGATTGCATATTTGTGGCCAGAGACCAGCTTGACCTCATATATCGATCTCTTATTTGTCTTATCCACATAATAAAGATATTGTATACGAACTATTAACCGACGGTAGATCGACATCCAATTAAGCCAACGGTAATTAAGTCTAACCGTCGCCTACGTATTGAATGTGACATATTCTAATACTATGAATTTAGACATATCTATATTCAAATTTATTGTATTAGCATTCGTTTTTTGATGACGGAGGGATCAGTAGTACATATCTGTATTCTGTATCGTGTGTCACCATGTGGGGTGCATATACATATCATCGTATGCGACGATGAGACGAAGGATGACTGGGTTGGCAGTTTGCATATAGAATATTACAACTCACCGAGAAGGTCAGTTGCGTACTAGTTTTTCGTGTATCTCCATCAATCGGCAGTTGCACTTGCTGTCGACCAGAGAAGAGTTCAGAACTCTGCGAATTCACACACGCACGTTCTCCCCTCAAAGCAACAGTAGTAGTACTATACGGAGATGGACTTTTCTTGGCGGGAATTTTTTCTTTTTTTCACATATCATCTAAATAGTTATTTTTTAAAAAATATTAAAATAAATTAATAATGGGTATATTGTTTCACAAATATGCAAACTCAAATACGATTTCTACAAGTTATAATAAAAAAATACCCCCCTAACTATCGCGGTCGACCGAATTACATACTTAAACTCAAAAACCAAATATTTTATACCCTCAACTATTAAAATCGGACAAATAAGACCCCTGAACACTGTTTTGAGTGGTTTTGACTTGACCTTGCACACGTGGCGCCAACGTGGCAATCTAACCAGCAAAAAAAAATTAAAAAAAACATGGCCCACCTGTCATACCTATCCTCAAACCAATCTGGCAATCTCTCAACCATTCCATCTCTCTCACACACGCGCTCGGGCAAGGCAGCGGGCGACCGGCGACGGAGGTGGAGCTCCCCGGGCGGCCGGTGTCTGAGGCAGAGCGGGCGACCGGCGACAGAGACGGAGCTCCCCGAGCAGCGGGCGGCGGAGGCAGAGCTCCCCGGGCGGCGGGCGGTGGGCAGCTAAGGTGGAAGCAGAGCGGGCGGCCGACAGCGGAGGCAGAGGTCCCAGTGCGGCGGGCGTCGTGCCGCTGAGGCTGAGGCGGAGGCGGAGCGGGCGGCCGGCGGCGGAAGCGGAGCTTCCCGGGCCGCGCCGCTGCGGGCGGCGGGCGGCTGAGGCGGAGGCGGAGACGTGGAGTGAGCGACCGACGACGCCGTGGTGGAGGGCGGCAGCGGCGGCGGCGATGCGGGAGCAGGCGTGTGTGGCGCGCGGGGGATGGCGGCGCGCAGGGCCGGGCGGTTGGCGGCGGCGGAGGGGGAGCTGGAGCCGACGATGGCTCGGCGGGCAGCGGGCTACGGCGTCGCCGAGAGGCAGCGGTTCTCTGCCTCTCTCTCTCTCTCGGTGAGTAGAGGAGGCAGCTGTGGCGCGGGGGCGGAGGCAGCTGCGGGCGGCGGGCGAGGAGCCGAGGACGGCGGCCGGAGGCGGCGAGGGAGATGGCGTGGGAGCAGCTGCACGACGACCGACGAGCCGCCCTCCGTGCGCTCGGCATGGGCCTCATCATGGGTGGCGACCTCCTCTGCGCCGAGTTGGAGTAAGCCATCGCGTGGGTAGTGTCCGACCGTAGCCGCGGTGGCGGTGGCGGTGGCGACGGCGCGGGAGAGACCGTCACCTCTGTGCCGCCCGCCTGCTGCCGCGCGCAAGAGAGAGAGAGGAAGAGTTAGAGAGAGAGGAAGAGGATAGAGAGGAGGTGAGAGAGATTCGGCGGCCTGTGCGACGAGATCCACGCCGGCGGCCGCTCTCCATGGCCTCTAGCCTTGAGCTCCGCCGCCCATTCCCCTTCTGCCCTCTCTCACTCTCTCGTATAATCAGAATAGGTGCCTGACAGGTAGGGCCCACCATTTTTATTATTGTTATTTCCATGTTGGACTGCCACATCAATCAAACCAGTGTCATGTGTGCGCCACGTCAAACCAAAACCACCCCAGATTGACTTAGGGAGGTAATTTGGCCGGTTTGAAAAATTTGGGGTATAAAATAACTGGTTTTAGAGTCTAAGGGGGTAATTCGAACGACCCAAATAGTTGGGTGGGGGACGTACTTTTTCCTAAAAAATACCATATGATTCTTAATATACGCAAACGATCAGTGTTTAATTTTTTTTTTACAATTTGCAGAGGTCGTATTTGAAATTGTATGTTTGTGGAATGATATGTCATATATTAATTTATCTTACAATCTTTTTTATAAATATTTAGATGATATACAAGAAACGATGGGACATTCAATTCACTCGAGAGTTTAAAAATCATCTCTTGTTAAGTTTTTTTCCCTTGTGAGGATGTCCCCTTGTTTTGTGTATGTCGTGTAAAATGTCAAAAAATAAATAAATAAATAAATGGTAAGATAGATATATCATTCTTCAAATATGCAGGTTTAAATTCAACATAATAAAAATTTGACTTCAGATAGGAGGTTTCCACCTGTATAAATTGAATTCGAACTTACTTTTTTTTTGAGTGATATATAATAGCATATTAGTTTACATTTAAAAAGATGATAACTTTTTACGTGATATGGAAAATGAGGGATTCTCCTTGAAAGACGAATAGACTTTCCCGTACTACTGCTACTCCTGCACAGTCGGGGAAAAGCTTTGGCAATCTCTACCATACCAATGTCCGCACATGTACCAAAGATATATGGGATTAATTAATTTATATAGATCCAATTTAGGCAATTTATGCATGGTTCCAGTGGGAAGCAAGCAGCTGTGTCTGAACTTTTTCCTTCCTGCTCTCTCTATATAATCCATATCCATATTATTTCCTCCTACGTGCATGCCAACTAGTCGTCGAAGCGTGTCTTCGCAGTACTATACATGGCCGCCAATTCAACGTACAATTCAAACAAATTAAGGGCTCGAAGTCGTACACGATACCATATTGCCATGCAAGAATCTACGACGACCAGCGCCGACGATTGAGAGAGAGGAAAGGAGGACGAAAGCCCAGTTGAAAAGAGGAAGATTAAAACCACCAGTTTAACTAATTAGTTACTACATTTCTATAAACACAGTACAAACGCAGACGTCCACAACGTATGCAAACCCCAACCTATAAGCACCTCCGGACTCCCCACCCTATAAACACACCTTCAGACTGGAAGAATAATTAGCCGTAAACACGAGCACCCATGTTAAATCTAGGATTTAAATTCAGGTAGTTGAGCTACCCTCGCTTTTGCAATTAGTTACTTCTTTTATGCTTGACTATTATATATTTATAGCTTTGGCCTGTTGGCCATGGCTGCCTCACCTTACCTCGATCTGCAAGCAAGCCAAGCCAAGCATAGGTAGACGACGTGTAGATACGTAGTCCTCCTCCTCTCTCTCGATTCTGCACGCCTCGTCGAGCAGCTAGCTAGCATATATACCCCCATACCTGCATACCATGCTGCGTCCCCAGCTCAATCCATCGTCCAGCCACCACCATACGACGACGACGAGCAGCAGCAGCAGCACGCAGCTGTACTTCGCCTCCTCGTCGTGCATCGCTAGCCTTCGCCGGCCGTCGCCGCCGTCGCTGATCGCCGGTGCCGGCTGCCGGACGACGCGGCGGAGACAGCAGGGTAGGCAGCGAGTTGTTGTGAGGTGCGCGTCCTCGTCGGCGGCATCATCGGCGTCGGAGGCGGCGAGAAGAGGGACCGGTAGTTCGGACATGGCGCCGGCGGCGGTGGTGAAGGTGAAGGCGGTGGCGACGATCAAGGTCACCGTCGAAGGGCTTCTCAACAGCCTGAGGCCGTCGAAGGCGATCGACAACATCAGGGATCTCATCGGAAGGTCGCTCTTCCTCGAGCTCGTCAGCTCCGAGCTTGAAGCGAGTAAGCTAATTAATTGTTTTTTTTCTGTTTATTAATTGGATGGATTTATGCATATTCCTGCATGCATGCAAGTTTATCATCCATGCATATACTATTCCTACATGATTTGCATAGTTTTTTATGCTTATTTTGGTTCGAAGATCTCATGTGTGGGCTAGATATAATAGGATTGTTGAGCATGTTAATTAGGCATATGCATGGTAGAGACTAAATAATTAGGAAGTTTTGATGACATATCCAAGGAGTACTTAGGTAGGTCATAGTACTGCTCATTGGAGGTCGTCGCTCTCCTTAATTACATTGGTCATACTCGTGATTAGTTAAAGCAGCCTTATGGGAATTAAGGCGTTGACGACTATATCTTGATTAATTACTCCAAACAAACAAGTTAATAATGTGAAAATCAATTAATCTAGAAACTATGGAGAAGATGCCTCCTCCTCCCTTTGATTTCTTCACTCATTAATGTCCTAGTATGGATACAAATTTCTAATTATTACTCCCTCCGTTTCAAAATGTTTGACACCGTTGACTTTTTAGCACATGTTTGACCGTTCGTCTTATTAAAAAAATTTATGAAATATGTAAAACTATATGTGTACATGAAAGTATATTTAACAATGAATCAAATGATATGAAAAAAAATTAATAATTACTTAAATTTTTTGAATAAGACGAATGGTCAAACACGTACTAAAAAGTCAACGGTATCAAATATTTTGAAACGGAGGGATTATTATTATTATTTCAGCAGGACCTCTGCTAGCTATGCATTAAAGGTATTAAGCAAAGAAATGGTGATGGAAAAAAAGGTTATAAGGCTTGACAACTGATCTAAGCTGATGACTACACACAGCAACTACTTTTTTTTGGATAAATTAATACAGCAACTACTATTTGGAAGTAAAAATTACAAAGAAAGAAAACCAAATGGCATGTACTCTAGCTATTCCAGTGATTAATTGATTGACAGATCCTCCTTGATGCAGTAACTTATTTGATCATTAACTTCTAAAAAAAAGTAGTAGAGCGACCAAGTTGGTAACAACCCTTTTTAACTACTATAGTTCATTATCTACTAGTAGCACATAGCTAGCTAGCTAGCACTAGCAGCAGTAACAAACCCTCGGTTCACCAACTGATCGATCGATCATCCTCAAAAGTTAGAATTGTTTTGCTTGCAGGCCTCACACAGTTGACAATATTGATTTCTTTTTTCATGAGCTAGCACGATTTAATTACCTATAATCTTGTACAGATATATCGGCAGAAAGCACTTGGGTGGTGTACATTATCCCCTATGCGTACGTGACATCGACAGTTAATTAGGCCCTATCACTGTCATACCATGAGGTTCAGAGGATATATCACCTTAACACCTGATGTGCACAGTCACTAGCTAAATATATAATTAGCTATTTAGCTTTACTCACACCCCAAGTGCAATTAATTCAACCAATGGTGTCATATATAGCAGAGAGCTACATAAGATATGAGCAAGGCTTGAAGCAAAATCAACCTATTAATCCCCTCTCCTATTCTCTTCCACTCTCTCCGGTTTTATAATTTTTAACATTTTAAAACAAAGTTGAGGTCAAATTATTAATTAAAACTTTGACTATCAATAACTATAAAAATATTTAGTTTAAAAACACTAAACCAACAGATATAGATTTATCTTACAAAGTATTATAATAAAAGTAAAAATATTTATCTATTGTATATATCATAATAGAAAAACATAGTCAATGATATATTTTGAAGACCGTGTCATTATCCAAAATGTCAAGATTTATGAAACCAGAGAGAGTATTGTTCTACACAAAGGCCAATATATTTAATTAAAATAGATTGGTCGACCAAATTAAACACGACATGTAAATGTTTTCAACCACAAGCTATATAGCTATCTGATCAATATGTTTACCACCCGTCGAAAAATAAGCTAGCGACGACATTTGCATCTCTTTCCGTGTTGATCTGTAGCAATTTGCATATATAACTGTCCTTGCTAATTTGTCACACACTAGCGGTAGTATTCATTCCGTGCTAGCAAGCTAATAGGTCGACCGATAGACATCACACACGTTTTTTTGTACTTAACTGTTGGAGAAAAAAGATGCCCAAATTTTGTTTTGGCTATCTAGCTAGGCACGTGATTTCGACCGATCAAGATTTGACTTTGTTCTGATCGTACAGAGCAGTCTAAATTGACAAAATTTACACGTACTGAGTATATAAGTCATAGAAAAAAATGGTTTGGACAAGGTACCCTATAAAATTACTGATAATCAATTCAAGATTTGTTGAAGGCTATGTCAAAAAATATATTATGTGGCATTTGGATCTCATCAAGTACTTATTTTTCAAGCTCGCAATTTTTACGGTGGCCCCTCTAGTGGTATTATAATTCTATACGTCCTGTTTTTTTTCTCGACCAATATATCTATTTATATACTACCACTTATTAACTAATCGGAAAAGAATTATTGTTTCTACTGATAGTAAAACTAATAAATTAATGGTTGTGTATTGTTTCTACACTAATAAATTAGCTATAGTACCATATATTACCGTAGAGATCACTTGACTATAGCTTTTCTAAAGTCAAATCCGGAATAAATTCCATTGTCTTGAAAAACTAGTAGAGACTACCGATGTGTTTCTTTCTGGTCTCCTCAATATTCATTTGCATAAGTTTTTTTTTATATGTTAGGTGCATATCTATCGATGCACGACTATTAATTCATGACAATAATTAATCGACGGCAGTTTGGCACGATGCATCTGTAGTCATATCCATGTGCTTCAAATTTGATCTTAAATTTGGCTTGGGTAACTACTCGGTATATTGTTCATGGTGGCCAGACAGTGCCGGTCAGCCGTTGCATCTCGCGTATATAGTACATGTGATAGCGATTCTTTTGGCCAAATATTACGCGAAGGATCTAAGAAGATCACATCTGAATAGATATGTACGATAATTATTGCTAGTGACATGTATACGATTCAGAACCGCACATGCATGTTCATACTTCAATTTGTATATACTCCTAATTAGCATTTGTGTACCTTAGGATGCCTGGGAGAATACGCTGTTAATTTCAGGCAATAATATATAATACTCCTATATACTAGTAATATGCATGGAATTCTGGTTGCGTTCCAAACTTCCAATTCTAAGTATACTATTCCTAGTTGAACAAATTTTTATTCAAGTAGAAAGGAGCCGTGTGCTATAGCTAGCTAATTCACTCAGTAGACTAACTGAAGATTAAAAAGTTCTAATCTGCGAGAATCTGTCCAGGAGTTACATATCCTAATATCCTAGTGGACATTCCAATCTAATTAGAAGAGAGACCAGCACGTCCTAATCACCTATGGTCAAGAAAAAGTCTCACATCTGACTTCATTGTCGTTGAAAACACTTCTTTAGAAATCTAGTACAAAGCTAAAGCTATTGTACATGACGTTTTAGCTAAGGCATTGACGTAGTCTTCGATGCATGCACACCTTTAGTATTTTTTTTCTTTCTGATTATACTCACTATGTTTCTAAATATTTCACACAGTTGACTTTTTAAGTATATGTTTGATCGTTCGTCTTATTCATAAACTTTTGTGAAATATATAAAACTATATATGTATACATATAAGTATATTTAACAATGAATAGGAAAATAATTACTAATTATTTAAATTTTTTGAATAAAACGAACGATCAAATATATTTAAAAAAAGTCAACGGTGTCAAATATTTAGAAAAGGATGGAGTCATTACTAGTGGTGTCTCTATTGGGGGAAATTAATTACTAGCTTTATGCCACTTTTTAAAGTTACTAACTGGTTAATACTATTCCCTCTGTCAAAAATATTATTTACGCGATAAAAGAACATAATAATACTTTTGAACATGCATGGATCTAGTTGTAGTAACGCCGATTATAATTTGTCATAAAGTAATTAGCTATTGGTCTCATCCTAATAAAACAAAATGCATATCACGTTTTTCAACAGATAACGTGATTTTCAGTATAGTAAGACAAATAATTAATCGCATGCACAAACATGATAGAACATGACGTGCCTGATCTGACGCAATCTGTTGCGCCTTGCGAACTATAACTAATTAATCAATAAATAAATTAATTATGCAGAGACAGGGAAGAAGAAGGCAACGGTGCATAGCTACGCGCACAAGGTGGACGACGACGACCATGGCGTCGTCACCTACGAGGCCGACTTCGACGTGCCGACCGGCTTCGGCCCCATCGGCGCCGTCGTGGTCACCAACGAGCTCGGGCAGGAGATGTTCCTCGAGGACCTCAACCTCACCGCCGGCGATGGCGCCGGCAACTCCACCGTCCTCCCCATCCGCTGCAACTCCTGGGTCCAGCCCAAGTCCAGCATCGACGAGGGCACGCCTGGCAAGCGCATCTTCTTCGCCAAGGTATATAGTTAAAATATCTTTTTTAAAAAAATTGTCTTCTTCTACAAAAGAATATGTAGTCTAGCCAGCTAGTGGTTGCAGTGACCTAAGTAGCACCCTAAGAGTTCAAATCTTCATAGGAGTAAATTTTAGATTGGGTTGTTTGCTGGGCTAAGTTCACAATTTAAATGGCTACATATATCTGGTTGGATGTAGAGACCAGATAAAAAAAACTCTTCTGAAAAAAAATATAGTTAAAATGATTAGAACGTATTATTAACTTATTATCAATACACCTAGATTTATAGTTGCATGTCGTAATCTTGAGGCAACGGTTATGCAACTGTTTACTAATTTTGGATGGAGATTCACAAACAGAATTCAATAATTGTGTACTCCTTATCTTGGGTTGGTAGGTGTCTTCTTTTTTTATGTGAGAAACTTTTTATTTTGTGTGCTATTCTGTAATAATTGGCTGTAGCTCGTTGAGCAAAGGCTGGGATATTCTATTCTATTATAAAAAAAATACCTAGATTTATAGTATAAAAGAAGAAGTGAAATGTCGTACTCCCTCCATCCCTAAATGTTTGACACCATTGACTTTTTTAAACATGTTTGACCGTTCGTCTTATTCAAAAAATTTAAGTAATTATTATTTATTTTTCTATCATTTGATTTATTATTAAATATTCTTTTATGTATACATATAGTTTTATATATTTCATAAAAGTTTTCGAATAAGACGAACGATCAAACATGTTTAAAAAAGTCAAAGGCGTCAAACATTTAGGAAATAAGGGAGCATATAATTTGTTTTCATAAAATCTGAACTGAAACAGATGCAACCTTGGAGTACACTCCTAGCTATATATATCTCACTTAAATGTCCCGATATAACTTAATTTATTCATTAATTGAAGTTAGCGTGGCTGATGAGCGACCGCGGATTGCGCTTGCTCTCAGTGCATTTATAATCACGCGGTTGCTTAAATTTCTCGGATTTTGTATAAATTCACACGCAGCCTAAAAACACCAATTCGAGAAAAATCAATCACCATCGCAGTCAAACTCAAAAAAAAAAAACAATTGACCGCCAAATTTACTGGGATTGCCACCCAGGTGGGCCGGCCCATGGGCCGTGGCCCAGACAGATGGGCCCAACTAACTCGAGTTCTGAATTTGATGGGATGTCGCGGTGGTGCAGGCTTATCTGCCGGGCCAAACTCCGGCGGGTCTCCGGAGCTACCGGGAGGAGGACCTCAAGCAGAAGCGCGGCAATGGCGCTGGCCAGAGGGAGGCCGACGACCGCGTCTACGACTACGACGTGTACAACGACCTCGGCAACCCCGACAGCAACGGTGACCTCGCCCGCCCCGTCCTCGGCGGCAGCAAGCAGTTCCCTTACCCTCGCCGCTGCCGCACTGGTCGCCCCCCTTCCAAGAAAGGTTCGTTAAAAAAAAAAACCAAAAACTATCGGAGAGCAGAAAATTTTGAGTCTAAAATTCTAAAGTTCGTTTTTTGGATTCTACGACTACAATTTATCAGAATCTATATAAAAAACTAACTATTTGAGGAGCTTCTGATTCTAAAAAAGCTGCAGCTTCGTGAAACTCTTCAAACATGATCAAACACATCATCCTTGTCATCTCCGATGACCGATCACGGTCGTCGTTCTCATCTCCGGCGAGACTGATCACGGTGGGGTTTTGTGATGGATCATGCAGACCCGAAGTCGGAGACGAGGAAGGGGAACGTGTACGTGCCGAGGGACGAGGAGTTCTCGGAGGTGAAGAACGCGCAGTTCTTGCTCAAGACGCTGCAGTCGGTGCTCCACGCCGCCGTGCCGGCGGCGCAGTCGGCGCTCATCGACAATCTGAGCCTGAACCTGCCGTTCCCGTCCTTCTTCGTCATCGACAAGCTGTTCGAGGACGGCGTCGAGCTTCCCGGCGTCGAGAAGCTCGGCTTCCTCCACAGCATCGTGCCCCGCCTGCTCGAGCTCCTCCGCGACAGCCCCGGCGACAAGATCCTCCTCTTCGACACTCCGGCCAACGTCCAAAGTACGCATCGATCTATCGAACAGCTTCACCTCCATCGCCATTGATTCCAAGTTTCTAATGGTTCTTGCTTTGTCTTACCTGCAGAGGACAAGTTCGCATGGCTCAGAGATGAGGAGTTCGCGAGGGAGACGCTCGCTGGCATCAACCCGTACGCCATCGAGCTCGTCAGGGTGAGTCCTCATGTCAACAATTCAGAGATTTTGATTCGGATTTTAGATAAAGTTTGTCAATGTTGTGCTGGTTTTGATTTGGTTTGATTTTTGCTCTGTGAGTGCAGGAATTTCCGCTAAAGAGCAAGCTCGACCCGGCGGTGTACGGTCCGGCGGAGTCGGCGATCACCGCCGATTTGCTGGAGGAGCAGATGAGGCGCGTGATGACGGTGGAGGAGGCGATCAGCCAGAAGAGGCTGTTCATGCTCGACTTCCATGACCTCTTCTTGCCGTACGTGCACAAGATCCGGTCGCTGAAGCACACCACCATGTACGGCTCGCGCACCATCTTCTTCCTCACCGACGACGGCACGCTGCGGCTGCTCGCCATCGAGCTCACCCGGCCGGCCTCGCCGTCGCAGCCGCAGTGGCGGCAGGTGTTCACCCCGTCCACGGACACCACCAAGTCGTGGCTGTGGCGGATGGCCAAGGCCCACGTCCGCGCCCACGACGCCGGCCACCACGAGCTCATCACCCACTGGCTTCGCACGCACTGCGCGGTGGAGCCGTACATCATCGCGGCGAACCGGCAGCTCAGCGAGATGCACCCCATCTACCAGCTGCTGCACCCGCACTTCCGGTACACGATGCGGATCAACGCGCTCGCGCGCTCCAGGCTGATCAGCGCCGCCGGCATCATCGAGCTCTCGTTTTCGCCGCAGAAGTACTCCATGGAGCTCAGCTCCGTCGCCTACGACAAGCTCTGGCGCTTCGACATGGAGGCGCTCCCCGCCGACCTCGTCCGCCGCGGCATGGCCGAGGAGGACCCCACGGCGGAGCACGGCCTCAGGCTCGCCATCGAGGACTACCCGTTCGCCAACGACGGCCTCCTCATCTGGGACGCCATCAAGACCTGGGTCCAGGCGTACGTCGCGCGGTTCTACCCCGACGCCGACAGCGTCGCCGGCGACGAGGAGCTCCAGGCGTTCTGGACCGAGGTGCGCACCAAGGGGCACGGCGACAAGAAGGACGCCCCGTGGTGGCCGAAGTTGGACTCGCCGGAGAGCCTCGCCCACACGCTGACCACCATCGTCTGGGTCGCGGCGGCGCACCACGCCGCCGTCAACTTCGGGCAGTACGACTTCGGCGGCTACTTCCCCAACCGGCCGTCCATCGCGCGCACGGTCATGCCGGTGGAGGAGCCCGTGGACGGCGCCGCCATGGAGAGGTTCCTGGACAACCCGGACCAGGCGCTCCGCGAGTGCTTCCCGTCGCAGGTGCAGGCAACGGTGGTGATGGCGGTGCTCGACGTGCTGTCCACCCACTCCACCGACGAGGAGTACCTCGGCGGCGAGCAGACGAGGCCGTGGAACAGCGACGCGGCGGTGCAGGCGGCGTACGCTGGGTTCACAGCTCGGCTCAAGGAGATCGAGGGCGTCATCGACGGCCGGAACAAGGACAGGAAGCTCAAGAATCGGTGCGGCGCCGGCATCCTGCCGTATCAGCTGATGAAGCCCTTCTCCGACGCCGGCGTCACCGGCATGGGCATCCCCAACAGCACATCCATCTGATGGGAGGACATCTACTTGCAATTGATCGTTCATGTCATCATGTGTGTGAAGCTCTGAATTATTTGTGTCAGTAGTAGCATTGTTACATAATTTTTAATCTGCATATATTTGTCTGTAAAAATAAGAAGTGGTTGTTGTTGATGTTATTTATTGAAAATCTTATGAATAATGTATTCTTTTATTTGATTTATTTGCAGAAACAATTGATAGCATTTACATTGAATGGTGCATTTTTACATATTCTCTCAGTGCAAACACAACGGCCACATTCAGTCAATCATTCGAGCCAAAAGATTAATTATTCAGAAAGTTGTTCGGCAGAGGCTCGTAACATTCTGTCAATCGTTCAGGCCAAAAGATTATTCAGAAGTTTAGGGTGTATTTTCCACGCCAAAATTGGAAGTTTGACTAAAATTGGAAGTTTGAAGAAAAAAGATGAAAGTTTATGTGTGTAGATGTGTGTAGGAAAGTTTTGATGTGATGGAAAAGTTGGAAGTTTGAAGAAAAAGTTGGGAACTAAACAAGGGCTTATTCTTGTGTCTGAGACGACAAAAGCCCCATTTCTCCTTACAATTGATCATTCATGTCTCTGAAACTCTGAATTACTGAGTTTGTGTACAAGCAAACTCTGAATTACATGTCTCTAAACTACTGCTGAAATACTGCTTACAATTGATCATTCATGTCTCTGAAACTCTGAATTACTGCTTATATTCCCCAGTATTTGTCAGCAGTAGTAGTACACAAGTTAAATTGCTTATATTCGTCGAGAGTCAAGACTGCACTTTTATTTCTCAGAGCTAACAAGTACAATGGCCACATGCAGCCAGTCGAATCATTGAGGCCAAAAGATTATTCAGGAACTTTTTTATTCAGGAGATCATTTTATTCAGGAGATCAGGCTAGTGAAGTGAGCTAGTTGATTTCTTCTTCTTTTTCATCATCGCTTGAGGAAGTCAGCGAACCAGTAGCTGGACTTCTTGCGATACCTCTTGAGAGTTTCGCGGTCGACGTAGATGAGGCCGAAGCGGCCGGTGTAGCCGTCGCCCCACTCGAAGTCGTCCATGAACGTCCACGTGAAGTAGCCTTTCACCTTCACCCCTTCCCTGCAAATTTCGTCCAAATTTCAATTCACACTCACATTGCAGCCAACCTACCTATATCCAGAAGAAACAGAACTGAATTTGATTGGATTTTGATGTGGCTACTTGATTGCGAGCTGAGTGAAGCGGAGATGCTGGTAGTGGAAGGATATTCGGTTGTCATCCTTGAGCGCCTCGGCGATAGGGATCGTGCTGTTGTTCGCCTCGTCGGTGCCTGAATTAATCAAGAACAGAGGTAACTGAAATGGGTCGAAACTGGATAATTTCATGCAAGAAATTAATTAAACAAGTCGCAAAGATGAACTGAAATATTTGACAGACAGATTGACAGTATGATGTGGTTGTATATATGCATGTAATTAGTTACCGTTCTCTGCAATGTAGATGTCAGGGTCATTGTACTTCCTCTTGGTATACAGAAGCAGCTCACGCAGACCCGGCGCGTAGGTGAAGAAGATCTTGGTAAAAGCCTATGAGTCAGAGTGAAATGCAAATCAATTAACACCACACAATCGATGCACATGATGACATGATCAAATGATCAAACAATTTCATCAAAATGAAACGATCAAACAAGTTGTTGTAGCTGCGTACCGGCGGACCGATCGGGACGCCGTTGCGGTAAGCTGTTGATCAGAATGCAATTCAATTTTTATTTTACTGCCAATTGTACTTTGATTGGTTCAAAACATGTGAGAATTTGGGAGAATGTGTTCATATGAGTACCTGTTTGATTTACCCAGTTGTCAGTAGCGTAGGCGGGTTTGAGCTTGCTCGGGCGTCGTAGAACGCTCTTAGCGTAGTTGGTGGTGTAGTAGTTGAGGCCGATGAAGTCGTAGGATCCCTTCACCAACTCCGACTGCTCGGCTGTGAATTTGGGCAGCCGGTCACCGACCAACTTCCTCATGGTGCCCGGGTAGTCGCCGAACACGATCGGGTCCATGAACCTAAAGGCCAAAAAGAGTTACGTTTTGACACACCCTCAATTATTCACCGGATTTTACCAACCAAATATTCAAAATTTTAGTAATTTTAAATTCTTGACCAGTTTCAAAGGAAGAAAAAAACTATATTTACAATCTCATCGTTTGCTCTTCAGCTTATAAGACGCAGTCAAAATTTAAATTTTCGAGTTGATAACTATTTTATTTTTAAATTAGTTTATTTTTTAGCATTCGCTTGTAAGTCACCTAGGACATATATAAAAATTTTGTTTATAATTTATTTTTTTAATGATTAATGAACGTTACGGCTTGTAGAGGAACATACCATCCGTACATGAAGTCGAGGCTGCGCCTGACGGCGTGCTTGTCGGCGGCGGCGTCGCTGTAGGGCACGAACCAGTGCGACACCTGCGTGATGCCGATCTGCCCCTTCTGCGTCGCCTGCATCACCATGGATGGATGGATTGGAGGTCGCCGATTCGCCATGAACGCTTCCATGTTCAGAATTCAGATGGATGATATCTACCTGGTACTTTTGGCGGTAGAGGCGGACGGCCTCGGCGTGGGCGAGCAGCAGGTTGTGGCCGGCGACGTACGGCTCGTTGCCGGAGTCGCCGGGGGCGCATTTCTTGGAGACGTACGGCGAGCAGCGGCCGGGGGCCTTGGTGCCGGAGCCGTAGCCGCCGGCGCAGAAGATCATCGGCTCGTTGAACGTGTTCCATGACTTCACCCGGTCGCCGAACTCACGGAAGCACACGTCCGCATAGTCCACGAAATCCTTCCTAAATTGGTACACACAGGCTAGGATCACCAATTCATTATGTTTCCCTTTTGTTTTCCTTTTTTTTATTCTGAAGCTAGTAGAACAGTAAGTAAAGTAAATTTCGCATAACCCCAGCACTATGATTATAGGATTTTGGTGTATGATACATAATTCTAGATATTGTAGTTTTAGTATTTCATAAAAATCATTGTTAACCATTTAATATTTGACTACTGTACTTATAAGTTCTAAAATCAAACATAGAATTTATTATTCTTTCATCATCGTATATAAGTCTTAACCACCTAAGTTAAGCATTTTTTTAAAAAAAATTATGATAGAAACAACTCAAATTAGTTAACGGTGTGGTTTTGTAATAAGACTAAAACCATAATACTTGATATTATGTGCCACATGTCAAAACGCGTATATTTTGTATAATTTAGACTCTACTAATATCTAGGGTATTATAAAATTTAATTATTTTTAAACATTTTTTCTTGGCAATTTGTAGCGGGCAATTAACTTACACAATGTTTTCACTGAGGAAGCTCCGGTATTTGTCCTCCAGAGCCTGTGGGGTGTCGAAATGGAAGATGGTGACAAATGGCTTCAACCCTTCAACAACCATGGACATCAACATCAGCCAGGAGTCCGATATTCAGAACAAAAATATATGGTCCAAGAAAAGATTTTCTCAACAACAAGAACCTCTCCCAAAAAAGAAAGAAGAAACATTATCTTCACCTCTAGATATGACCTCGTTAATCAGGCTGTTGTAGAAAGCAATCCCCTCTTTGTTGATTCCTCCACTGATGGTTCCATCTGCAGGGAGGAAGCAAATCATTAGTGACCGATGATGATATTTATTTTTTAAAAAATAAAGCAGGTTTCTGTCATGTGGTCCACATTAGTGTGCATTTATTTATGGACATGTGGTTAAGCATCGATATATATATATATATATATATATATATATATATATATGGTTTGACGCCGATGGTTTTTCGACGATTCATTTTACTCAGAAAATTTGTGTATATGTTGAACAATATAAGTTGTGCTTAAAATATCTCTAATGATAAAAATGAATCATACTAAAATAAATGATAATTACTAGCATCAACAACCGGAGGGAGTAGAGTATGTCCTTACTTGGCAGGATCCTGCTCCAAGCAATGGAGAAACGGAAGGCGTCCATGTTCATGTCGGTCACGAAGTTCAGATCCTCCTGCAGCTCAATTTTGGTCAGGAAAGGAAGAACCTTAAAAGCTCTAAATTCAACAATGGCAATTCAGTCCAAAGAAAGAAAGAAAGAAAGATCCGCCACCTTGTAGCGATGGTAAAAGTCCACTGCTACATCCCCGTTGCTACCATCTTCAACTTTGCCTGAAACAAAAGAGGAATGTTTCAGAGTTTCAGTTCAGTACAGAAATGAACCTGCTACTGACAGCTCCTTCAGTTAACAACATATAGGAGTACACAGTGACCTGGAATGTGAGCGTACGTGTCCCAGATGCTCGGCCCTCTGCCGCCTTCGTTCACAGCGCCTTCGTACTGCAACAGAATGAAAATTCAGAAAATGCAGAAAGCACCAAAGATTTTGCTCTGTTTTTTTGTCTTTTTTTACTCTGAACATGGACACCAGTAGCAAGAAAGGCTAGTTGGCTGCACATATCCACTCGTGAATATAGAGGCCGAATTTCAGCCAGAGAGGCCATAACATGAAACCTGATAAGCCGCGGAGCCGGTGCCGAAGATGAAGTCCTCCGGGAAGCTGAACCTGTTGAAGGCGCCATGGACGGCGGCGCCGTTGCTCACCAGAGCAACCAAGAACAGGGCAAGGAGAAGCCAACGCATCCCAGCTGGTCGAACTCTGATCCTATCTTATCTAGTACTGAAAATTTGGCACAATTTTGCAAGCAATCAAATTGGCTGCAAATGAAGAAGTGTCTCTACTTGTTTAAGTAGCTCGAGAGGTCATCTCATTAGTACGCACGGGAATATCAGGTGAAGAAATGAAGAAAGCAACGCTACCAAAAAGAAAGCTACACTCTCCGTTTAATAAGGTTATAAGATGTTTTGATCAAAGTCAAGCTGCTTTAAGTTTGACCAAGTTTATAGAAATAAATAGTAAAATTTTTGACTCAAGATAAATTTATTATAAAAATATATTTAATTATTAATTTAATAAAACTAATTTGGTAATGTAAATATTACTATATTTGTTTATAAACTTAGTCAAACTTGAAGCAGTTTGACTTTAAACAAAGTCAAAATATCTTATAACCTGAAACAGAGGGAGTATACAGAAACCTCGATCCGATAGGGCGTGTGGATCACTTGAAAGGCATGTGAAAGCCATGGGCAGCAATAGCGACTGAGACAGCACATGTATCACGATTCTTGATCACATATTAGGTTGCTACGAGCATCTTTCCCATCCTTAAATAGTTATTATGAGGTACGAGGTACTGATCTAATCTAACCGTTGGTTTAGAAAGGGTATGATCGGGCTAAAGAAATTACCACTATCTGCCACCATCGCATCGAGGCTGCCGTCGCATCGAGGGCCGCCGCCGCGCCCACCGTCGCATCGAGACCGTCGCGCCCACCGCATCCCACCATCGCATACAGCCCGCAGCGGCGTACGAGCGCTCGAAGGAGCCGATCCGCGTTTAGGTCGCTGGAAGTATTGATGCAAAATTACAATGATACCCTTCTACCTCAAAAACTGACCGATACATGTTCTCACGGGAAACGCAGTACCGAGGCTTTCCAGCCATTAGATCACGCGAAATCAACGGCTTGAAATCTCAAGGACTGTAACAAACCTCCACTAGCATACATGAACCCTAGGGCTATAACTCAATATTGTAAACCTATAAATAGACCCTAGGGATTACGTAATAGGGGATCCAATTTCTGAGAGATTAATATAGTTTCTATTTACATTTTCCACTTAGTTGAGTGAAGTCTACTTTTCGATAAAAGTGTTTATCAATTGATAATATTTATCATAGTTTATTTCATAGCATTTGCTTTTAGATTACTAAGAACACATATATATGACTTTTACTCACATTTCCTTGATAATACGGTAAACCCCAGACGATTAGACTCTAACATACTCCTAATACAAGTATATTTTTCACACGGGCATCTCTATCGGGGAGGTAGTCCATCTCTATCAAGCTGGGGAAGGAGGCTGCGGTCGACTGAGACAGGGAGCATCAAACTGCCAGCTAGCTCATTTACTTTAGCACAGTCAGGGCTACTGCGCGTCTATGCAGTGGCTCCACTCGAACTTGGATGTGCATGGGATTCTGCGGCTAGAGATTTAATTACATGAGCACCTATGTCTCCTGCTCTCCCCGTTGGGCCCGTTCTAAAATAAATGAGTACCTCTCCGTCATGTATGAAACACATAAGTGTTTTTTAGGTTCATAGCTAATCGGATTTATCTTTTTAGAATAGAGTAGTATCTTCTATATCTCAATACGAGATTTGCTTTAAGATTTACTTCATCTGTCTTAAAATAAATCAATTTAATTTTATACTCAAATATATACATAAGGTATGTTTATATTCATGTAAAAAAGTATATCCTTTTTTTAGGATGGATATATGTGTATGACATCGATTTGGATAACATAAGGTACACTTTCTTTTTCTAAAACAAGGCTTTAATCAATAATTGCTATATCATGATACCATTTATGTGATACAAAGGTACTACAATCATAGTACTTTTAAATACGAATCTAGTAATAACAATTTTGTGTTAAAAAGCTATATATGGAAAAAAAATTGTATTACCCTGGCCTAAACTTTTACAGTAGTTGCTTTACCCTCTTAAACTATCGAAGTAGACATTTTAACACCTTTAACTTTTGAAACCAAAAAGATAACCCGTGAGCACTGTTTTCTGTTTGGGACACTGGCTGACACGGTATTCCAATGTGACAAAAAAAATAAATAATAGTATGTCCACATGTAAGTAACAATTGTCAATGGGGAGAGGTTAAACAGAGTAGGCATGTGGGGATCTACCACAGGCCACTGCGAGATGGAAGAGGTCATCTGTTGCGCGCTTTCGAGGGCAGCACCTCCATCGCCACCTTCCCACCTGCTCTGGAGGGTACCTCCTTTCTTTGCCTATTCGTGGAGGCCATTATCAGTTGGGGACAAAGAGAGAGGGGGTGGAAGAAAGGAGAACGGTATGAGCATGACACGTGGAACCACCCAATTTATAATATTTATTTTATTGAAATGTTTGTTGAGTGGATTGCCACTTGAATAATACATTACCATCACAAAAGTTTTAGGGGTAATTCAATCTTATTTTTTAAAATCGATCTATCTATCTTAAAAAAAGACACCATATTCACTATATACTAAGAATAAAACTTTTTACATCAATCGAGAAAAGAGAGAGATTTTGACTGTCAAGCCATAGCAGGTCCAAACTAGAACGGTGTAAATTGACCAATATAGTTGTATACAAAACATAATTGTATACATAAAAGCATAACATAAGAATCGAATATCAAATATTATTATCTTTTTAGAATATATTGCATACAAATTACGACTGTATACATGAAAACTAAAGTAAGTTGTATATAAAATCCAATTATTTGTAAAGAAACACTAGTTAAGAGTTGCATGTCAAATACAATCTATTCTCTTTCAGCTCCATACAAAATTGTGTAAGAAAATCCACTATTTACATTCTATTAGAGTAAACACTGGTGAAGAAAAGGGCTTTACCCCTGGTTCGTAACCCCCCCTGTAGTCCCGGTTTTCAAACCGGGACAACCAATCTGGGACTAAAGATCACATATATGTGAAAAAACCGGGAGTACAAATCTATTTTTAGTCCCGGTTGGTAAATAGATCCTTTTTAGTCCCCGTTGGTAATACCAACCGGACTAAAGATAGAGCTAGGCTAGCTAGATCCGGTTGCTCTATTATTTTTTTTCTTTTCTTCATTGTTTTTAATATATTGATTTCACCCCATCCCCATCCCAAAATCCCAAATAAATTATCCCCAAATCCTCAAATCCCCAACTCCCCAAATCGATTATATCCAAATACATCACAAAATCTTAAAATAAATTACATCACAACTTTTACAAAATTCATCACATTCACATCACACACAAATCAAATACACAGATCCGAATCACAAATTCTAAAAAGAAGAAAAAAAAGCATGTTGCCACTGCCGTTGCCACGCCGCCGCACCGCCCAGCCACCGCGCCGCCCTCGAGGCCGCCCTGGCCACGCGCCGCCCGCGAGGCTGCGAGGCCGCCCGGGCCTCCGCGCCGCCGCAAGGCCGCCGGCCACCAGGCCCTCCACCTGCCGGCGCTTGGAAGTTAGTGGAGAAAGAGGAAAAGGAGGAGAGGAGTTAGAGGAGAGAAGTTAAAGGAGAGGAGGAGGAAGAGGAAGAGATATGGGAGGAGGAAGAGATAAGGCCAGGGAGGAGATAGAATATATTAACTGCTCCTCCTCCTCCTCCTTGATCTGGCCTTGTACTCTTCGCCGCCCATGTTGCACATGCCGACCGGGACTATAAATAGATCTTTGGTTCCGGTTGGTATTACCAACTGGGACTAAAGATAAAAAAAAAAAGCTCTAACCTTTTGAACCGGGACTAAAAATATCTTTAGTCCTGATTTTTATTGTAACCGGGACTATTGTGGATTTTGGCCGACCGACCAAAGATAGTTTCTTCATCAGTGAACTGTTGGCTCAAACCTTATCATAATGGAATAAAATAGCCTTTATATTTTTGAATGAAGGTAACCTTACATACAACTATCTCTATTCATTACACATATGTCACATAAAAAAACAAACCTAGTATGAAATATGACACATTATAATCCAACAAAGAATATGAATATAAGTATATCTATATTTGTTGAACTAGGGTATTTTACATCCCGTATTAGGTTTATTTTTTACCGGGTGGAGATAGTAAGTTCCAGTTGCTCTAAGGCCAGTCACAGTACAGCATTTGTTCTGCAGCTTTTTAGAAATCCTCTCTTCACCCTAGAGAACCAGTACACTAGTGCACATTTGTACAGCTTTCTAGTAGCTAGGTGGGTTGTGGGGGATGATGAACTAGGACTCCGGATCCGGATGCCATCGCTCGGTGGAGCTAGGAAGCGGCAGCATCAAACAGGTTGGGTCCTACTTAGGGATGGCAATTGTGCCCGTTTGCCCATTTACCTGCGGGTAAAAACCCTATTAGGGTTGGGTTTGTTCTCCATTTTATACCCATGGGTATCTTATTGGGTCAAAAGCTATGCCCGATGGGTAAATGGGCATGGGTATGGGTAATCACTACCCATGCCCGCTTTGCCCGTTTACCCGCAAAATCTAACTTACATATAGGTTAGGAGCAAAATCCACTAGAATACATAAGCCACGTTCTTTGTTTTCTATGGTTTCCCTTTTATTTCCCTTATTATTTCTCTCCTCTTACTCTATCGCCGCCAGATGAGAGACACGACACCGAGGCGGAGAATATTTGATGTTTTAAGTTCGATTCGAACTTAGTAGCTTGTAGACTTTTTGTTCCACTGCTTTTGTTGTGGCGGGTAAACGGGCACGCCCGCGGGCATAAGTTGCCCACGGGCAATGGGCATGGACAACCATCCTTACCCGTCATGTAGTAATGGGTATACCCACGGGCACAAATAATCTCACGGGCATGGGTATGGGTAGTCACTACCCGTACCCGTCGCGCCCGATTGCCATCCCTAGTCCTACTCCGACGAGACGGGACGACTCCCTCGTTTAATCCTTTGTGTCACGCGGCGAACTGCCAAAGCGCTCGCTCCGTAGCAGCAGCGCGGGACTGTACGCGACGCCATACCGGTTGTTGTTTTTTTTTCTGAAACACCATCATGCCAGTTGGTTGGGTCTCTTTATAACGAGCTTAATTATAAAATGATCCTGGAATGGTTAAGGCTATGTTCGTAGTAAGTCCTAGTACCCAACTCCCTCCGTCCCATTTTCCGCACGTACGCTTCTCAAACTGCTAAACGCCTCGTTTTTGAAAAGTTTCTATACGGAAGTTGCTTAAAGAATTATATTGATCTATTTTAAAAAAAATTAGCTAATACTTAATTAATCACGTGCTAATAGACCGCTCCGTTTTCCGTGCGCGAGAGATGGGTTCCCAACCCATTCTAGTGAACGCAGCCTTAAAAGGTGGTGATCCACAAGTAGTATAACACAGACACGTACCGCCTCATCGTACGGCATATTTGTAGACGAAAAATAAATTAAAAAAAACTTTTATATACGTGTTTTTAACGATCTAATAGCAAAGGTTGAAAAATAAACTTCGATGAAAAAGAACTCCAAAATCAATTCTAAATTTAAGGTTGAAAATTTAAATTTAGTTGATAAGTATAAGCATGAACGAAAAGAAAAGCCTAGTAATGTGTATTCACTCCTATAAACGTATCCTCTACGACTCTATGAGTATTTCTGAACAATCATAGACATCTCGCTGTACCAGTAATCAAATCAATATCCATGAGAAAACACAATCATTTTCCATGCACATGGCAATTATTTGGGCAGCACACTGCACACATCAGGTTTGGTAATTCTATCAGCTGCCTGCCTAGCCTTGCCTCTCTCTCTTATTTTAAAAGAAAAAAGAAAAAAAAAGGCAGCTGCCTGAAGCTAGCTTCATCGAGTACACTGGAGATATAGATCGGATCGAATCACTGTCGATCAGGAGCTTGAAGCATTTGAATCATCATCATCGACGGAGGAAATCCGCGAACCAGTAGCTGGACTTCTTGCGAAACCTCGCGAGCGTGGCGCGGTCGACATAGATGAGGCCGAACCGGTCCTTGAACCCATCGCCGAACTCGAAGCAGTCCATGAACGTCCATGTAAAGTAACCCTTCACCTTCACACCCTCCCTGTGACAAGTGAAAATAACTCGTCACACTCATTGATCAAGTAATTGAAATTACTATTTCCTTCGCTCCAAAATAAACAAACTTCATATAGAACTACGAATATGGAGGATACGTTAATTAAAGTTGGTTTATTTTGGGATGTATCTATATTCGAATGTCGCCATGTTTGAACTAATCTATCTATTATATACTAAAAGTCCATTAAACTTCCTACAAACGCTCCTAAACCACCACGTGTCATCCTATAAACACTCTCTAGTCGCCACGTGGCACTCTAATAAAATATAGAAAATCATGAAAAATCTAATAAATATCTAGCCATTGATTTTCCGTTAAATCGGTGGACCCATATATTTTAACCATTGATTTTCCGTTAAATCGGTGGACCAGTATATTTTAACCATATTAGATCTCTTAGCAAACAAAAAATACGGTACTCATCCCCATCGTGCATGCGGCAAGCGCAGGTACGTACTCCCTCCCTCCAGCCTCTCTCTTCCTCTCCTATTTTCTAGGTAACTACTCCTATTTTTTTAGTTAACACCTATATCTATCTTAAGATTTTCTAATTATGTTTATCTGTGAAAGATTTGCACGTACAAAAAGTTCCACATATGTGCACGTACATACTTACTCTCTTTTTCCCCCTTTTTCCCTTCTTGGTTAGATGAGATAGAAAACCAAATTAATAATTCAATACACATATTAACTATTAATATTTTTTCTAAAATGCACTTTAATAGATTAGAAAAAATTCTAGAAAATCTGAGAAAAAAAAAAGAAAAACATCTAGTCATCGATTTTTCATTTAAATTAGTGGATTGGATCATTAAATTAAATCTATTAATAACCTCACACCTAATCTCTCTCAGCGCACGAGAGAAAGGTACTTACATACGGCTCATAAAAAAAGCCAAAAAGTACGTATACAACTGTACCATACGAATAAAAACAAAAAAAAATATGTTACATATATCATTAAAAATTACATCCGCTTCCATCTCCTCCCCTCTTTTCTCCATACATGTATAGATGAGATCGTAACTATAATTAGTGATATTAAATTTTAAAGAATTATAACTTTATAAACATAAATTATATATATCATAATTAATATATATGTAAATAAATTAGATCCATAATATTTGGAAATAAAATTTATAGGATTATATTATTTTACCCATTATATTAACAATATAATATAATTTTATTTAGAACCATTATTTTAAAAACACACGGTTTAAAATAAAGGTTACACAACTATATTTTATACCATTAGTTACCAATTTATGATCTATAATAACTAATTCATACTTAAATTAGTGGACCCACTGTTTTATACTTTTTTTAATAAAAATATTTTCCCATCAATTTTCACTTAAACTGATGGACCTATTAATCAGTTAGGCAGTCATATATATCTTTCATAAAAAATGAAAGAAAAACTTCTAAAGACCTCTCTTCAATCCTCTACACAACACACGTGTTCTTATTTGCCTTCTGCACATATGACAAAGCATCGTACCCGAGATAGCTAAAAGTAATTGCCAAAGTGATCATGACTGTCGATAAACCGCATACTAATAAAATTTATATAATTTCTCTGTTATTTCAAACAAATATTATTTCAAAGAAAACAATTTAACATGTGAAAAACAAAAAAAAGCTTCAAATAATTGCTGATATTTTTGCACTACTAAACCAAGCAATTGTGTAGATGATTTGTGTTCCAACATAAAAAGCCTTCAATTCTTTAAATGTGTGGAAAAATATGAACATTTTGAACTTCTACAAAGGAAACAACAATCCAACCGTTAATCTACCCTTAATTTGGTTGTTACTAAATCGCATCCTCATAAGGCGATTCAATCACAATAACTTTAAATTTCTTACCATTACAGTTTGTGTTTATAGCAATAGTGTACAGTATGTATTCAGATAGTATACATAATATTTACTTACTTATCCACAAGTCGAACTCATATGACCTTGATTTATTATCATATAAGTCGATGAATGATATTTAGATATGCCCAGCCTATAGTTTACCCTTATGAGATATAATTTCCAAATAATCTATAATATCATGTTTTAACAATACGAATGCCCACGCGTCGCGTGGGCCACTATTCTAGTTTTATTTAATAAGTGGTTATAACTTTAGCTGAAATAAATGCCGGATTATTATCTAAAAATATTGAAAAAAAAATGGGTTGAGTAATGCGCTCGTACTGGATGGCCTTGTGCACGAACTGGAGGTGCTTGTAGTGGAAGCCGATCCGCGTCTCGTCCTTGAGCGCCTCGGATATGGGGATCGTGCTGTTATTCGCCTCGTCAGTGCCTGCACGTACGCAACAAATTCATACTTCTACCGTCCTACAATAAGATTATTTTTAATCTTAATGTTTGTTAAAAATAGGTTTGTTTTTAAGTAATCATAACATTGAAGTTTATAAAAAACAGTGGATAAATACATTAAGAAATAATTACATTTGAATTTAATAAAATAGAGGTGTCCTAGTCTTTTTATTTAGTATTGATACCTTTGGGATATGTGAAAAATTAATTTATCTTTAGACGAATGGAGTACTCATTCTGCTGGAGAACTGTTGATTGTTACTGTTGAGATTTATTACCATTCTCCCTGCTTTTCCTGAATAAAAAAACAGACATAAGTTACCGTTCTCGGTGATGTAGATGGTGGGATTGTTGTATCTCCTCTTGACGTACAGCAGCAGCTCGCGTAGCCCCGGCGGATAGTTAAAGAAGATCGGCGTGTAAGCCTGATCATTCAGAGATACGGCGAAAGTTCAGTTAAACAGACTCGATACAGTACAACTGTACAAGCCACTCTACTATTTGTCGTCGTAAATCATTCATTCATTCATTCATTTGAGCAACCTACCGGTGGACCAATCGGGATGCTATTGCGGTAACCTGCGAATTGAATCGAACAACGAGTTTTTGTTAAACTTTTCACGCACAAATCTTAATTAACTGCAACGATTTCAACCAAGGCCGAGTTTAGTTCTAAAATTTTTCTTCAAACTTCTAATTTTTCCATCACATTAAAACTTTCCTACACACGTAAACTTCTAACTTTTCCATCACATCGTTCCAATTTTAACCAAACTTTTAATTTTAGCGTGAACTAAACACACCCCAAGTTAATGTGTACTATTGTACTTCCTATGTTTCATTAAAAAACAAATGTAGTACAGAATATTACACATTTTTATCTAGATTTGCCTTGGTTGATCCAACTTTTAAAAGATTCTATTAGTGACGGTTATGGGTCTACCACCAACCATCACCACTATTCTATATGCACGGGAATATAGTAGGACTCTTAAGGGTGTGTTTAGTTCACGCAAAAAATGGAAGTTTGGTTGAAATTAGAACGATTTGACGAAAAAGTTAGAAGTTTATGTGTGTAGGAAAGTTTTGATGTGATGGAAAAGTTGAAAGTTTAAAGAAAAATTTTAGAACTAAACTCGGCCTAAATAATGATATGAGTGGATGAACTTCTGACCAATCCTCAAGCAACCAAAAAGTGCCCAACAAGAAAAACAATTACTATCTTTGTTGTTTCCTTTATTCTCATGATCATTAACTTATTATTCATACAAAATTGTGTTTGGATCTTTACTTATAATCTTACTAATATAAACACGAATAAGTTGGTTTTCTGATTATATACAAATTAGCACAATAACATCATTTTAGATTCAATTTAAACAATTCTGGTTGTTTTTCTACCGCCATATTAAAGCATGGACATTGAACTATAGATGATTTTATCATCCTTAAGACGGTATCACAATATACCACATCTTTTAATGTATATTACTTCATCCGTTTCATATTATAAGACTTTTTACCATTGTTCATATTCATATAGATGTTAATAAATCTAGACATATATGTGTATAGATTCATTAGCATATATATATATATATATATATATATATGAATATGAAACGGAGAGGGAGTATAAAATTTAGATTTACTATTCGTAAAATTTTCTCTTGAAGTATATATGGTGGTCTTAAAAGACAAGATATTTAACTATTTGCCACTTTTATAAGTAGCAATTAAGAATTTGCCTATGAACTCATATATCATAGACATATAAAAATACACATGTTATAGGCTATGAGTGGTAAATTCTTAATTATCACATCATAAATAGTGAAAAAAAAGTTAAATGCCCTTAAAAAACAGATGGGGTTGTATGCATGCCTGTCGCGTTGACCCAATTGTCAGTCAGGTAGGAAGGGTGGAGCTTGTTGGGCGGTGGCGCGGCCACGGCGTAGTTGGAGGTGTAGTAGTTGAGGCCGATGAAGTCGAACGAACCCCTGAGCATCTCCGACTGCTCGGCGGTGAACGCCGGCAGCCGGCCGCCGACGAGCCTCCTCATCGCCGGCGGGTACTCGCCGTGCGCCACGGGGTGCATGAACCACCCGAGCATGAAGTCGAGGGCGCGCCGCCGCGCGCGCCGGTCGGCGGCGGAGCCGGCGTCGTACGGCTCGAACCAGTGCGACACCTGCGTGATGCCGACCTCGCCGCCGTGCGCCGCCCGGTACCTGGCCCTGTACAGGCGGACGGCCTCGGCGTGGGCGACGAGGAGGTGGTGCCCCGCCACGTACGGCTCCCTGCCGGAGTCGCCGCCGGCGGCGCACGACGCCGACGCGTACGGCGAGCACCGCCCCGGCGCCATGATGCCGGTGGCGTAGCCGTTCATGCAGAAGATCGTCGGCTCGTTGAACGTGTTCCATAGCTTCACGCGGTCGCCGAACAGGCTGAAGCAAAGGTCCGCATAATCCACGTAGTCCTTCCTGTTCATTTTTAAAAAAATTTTTAGGAAAGGTTTTCTTTACCTGGTCTCTACATTTAACGGAATATATATAGCCTTTTAAATCGAAAACTTAACCCCTTAAATAATTTAATCTGAAATTCGCTCCTATAGATATTTGAACTCAAAACCTTAATATGAATGTTCATGAGTTCTCCATCGAGCTCAAGGTTAATTAATTACTATCTTCGTTTTAATTCCTTTTGTGTTTTTAAAAATGTATCTAGACATTCCTTCGTCTGTACACGTTTTGAAAAATGGATAGAAATATTTATATATTAGAATAGATGAAATAATTAGCAGCGAATAGTGATAGTGATTTATGGAGTAAATTACACGATGTTTTCGCTCAAGAAGCCGCCATATTTATCCTCCAAAGCCTGTGGAGTGTCAAAGTGGAAAATTGTGACAAAAGGCTTCAGTCCTGCAGGCATGAACATTTGTCAGGGTAAAATGAGTTCCTTTTAAATTTCTTTAAGAAATGAGATATCAAGGAAATATGTTATATTTTTATACATGTAAAGAAAGAGATAAGAATGGACTTGCATGCCTTTAGCTATGACCTCGTTGATGAGGCTGTTGTAGAATTCGACCCCTTCTTTGTTTATTCCTCCACTAATGGTTCCATCTGAAATAATTAAGCAGCTGACCAGTTAAAAAATTTCAAAACCAGCTTAATGATAAGGTTGAGCTATAATCAAGATGGTAATGGCTAATGATAAATCGAATTCTTTGGGTTTGTATGCTCACTGACTTGGTAAAATCCTGCTCCATGCAATGGAGAACCGGAAGGAATCCATGTTCATCGCGGTGATGAGGTTCAAATCCTCCTGCACAGTTTCAGAATTTACCATGGACTCAACTAAACGGACACAAAATTACAAATTCCTCATAAGCAGAAAAGGAATCACCTTGTACCGATGATAGAAGTCATTCGCTATATCTGCATTGCTACCATCTGCGATTTTACCTGCAAGAGAAAAAAAAGCATGCTCTTTTTACAATCAAATCCAATAATTCCTGGTTGATTAATTAGCATCTCGACCGCAAATGCTGCTGCTAAGTTCAAGATAACGCGCTTAGCTGCAAACAATTTAGCTGCAAATAATCTCTGAAACATATCGAGGCAAAGCACCAAAGATGACCTGGAATGCGGCTGAAGGTGTCCCAGATGTTCTGACCTCGCTTGTCGACAGCACCCTCGTACTGCACATCATACTATGTCAGAGAAAATCGTTCAAGAAGAACAATGGCGAGTGAGCTGAGCAAGAACCTGAAAAGATTCGATGCTGCGGTGTAGGAATCAAAGATGGAGCGGTGGTGAATTAACCTGATACGCGGAGGTGCCGGTGCCGAAGAGGAACCCCTCGGGGAAGCTGTGCCTGTTGAGTGCGCCATGGACGCGGTTGGAGCTGCAAGCCAGAGCGATGAACAGTAGAGCAGAGAGAAGGAGCCGACGATCCATGGCAAGATTAGCCTGGCTGCCGACGATCGAGCTGTCACTGCCTCCTCTAACTGTACTTTTTATACAGAAAACACTGGGAATGATCTTATACTTCTTTTATTAGAAAAAAGAAAAAACCTTTTTAAAGAAGACAGAGCATGATACTGTACTCTGACACTAACAGCAGACAGAAACAGCGCAACAACTTCAGCTTCAGCTTCCTCTCAATCATTAATTCATAGCACCACTAGTACTTAGTATCAGCGTCATTTCACTTTTTTCTCATTTTAAAGCCAGTAAGTCATTGATAAATCGAAGGGAAGTAAGTTAGAGAATCTGTCTCTTATCCTTTGCATGATTAAGCGATGGTTGTAACACTAAGAGCATCTCCAATAGATGCCACACTTAGCAGTGCACTCACGTGAACCATATGGACTAAGACTACTCATGAGATACACTTCTTCCGACGAATGATACTTTCTAAATCAAAAGCAACAAGGTGAACAGGACACAACCTTCGTCATCCAACGCATAGCCACAAAACCGTGGCTTGGCAAAAAGCAATCGAGAATGTTAAAGCCGCGCGTACCTTGCCTAGGCGTCGTGTCTCTCTGCAGGGACACAGTTCTAGTTCGGAAAGAAACGGTAGCTAAACACCGTGAGCAGAGCTCCGATCCAGAGGTACGGGAAAAAAAATCTATGCGGCGGTGCCGCACAATGCTTCTCGTGCAACACCACGTGAGCTAGTGCCATGTGTCCCATCTCCTGCTATAACTCGAGTCTGTTTTCGAGCCGAGCCGACGCCGCAGGCCCTGGAGTTAGTTCTACTGCCGCGGCGCCGCCCAAAAATCCTTTCTGCCGCCTCATCCCCGCGCCTAGCTGCAGCACTCCTGTAGTCCTGTCGTGCTATCTGTCATGGACAAACCATTAGAATCTCCACTCTCCAGCTTCTCCATTGACACTGCTAGCTTTCATTTTTTTTTTCATGCTAAGATAGCAAATGTCTAGTAAGTCACCGTCCACAGTAATATTCAGTGAATTACTACTATAATTTTCAAAGAGCTTTAGTGACACATCAAATAAAATTCAGAAAGAACACTAATTCCACATCCTATTCCAACAAGATAAATTGCAAAGAGAAGCCATGAATCAGCTTTGAATATCACAGGAATCAGCCTTCAGTATAGCTTCAACAAACCTGACAGTAGCTCCTTGCCGTTGTGGTCTGCTGCCCAGAAACACATCACCACGGTCAGCTGGTCTGTCTCAACGCCGACGGCACCACTGCTCCGAGGAGGGCAGCAGGGCCCCTTACAGCGTGTCGTATGGCTGGGTGGTGGGTGGGGCGCTGTCCGGATGGGTAGAGGGCGGAGCCCTGAAAGCCGCCGCCGCCGCCACAGTAGGAGTAGATTTGGGGTGGTGAAGAGGAGTGCTGCAGGCGTGGGAGGAGGCGACGAAGAGGATTTTGGGCGCGACGGTAGAACTCGACTCCTGGGCATCGGCTCGGCTCAAAGAACAGAGTCAGTCTGCAGCAAGAGACGGGACACGCGTCGCCAGTCCACGCGGTGTTTCACGAGAGGCGTCGTGCGGCACTGCCGCAGAGAATTTTCTTCCCAGAGGTACGTATTGAAGATGGCCTAAAGTTTGCGAGAGTTTCTGAATATATAATATTATACTTGTTCATGAGTCCACGATTTCCACACTATTGCCCTCTTTTATTCATATTATGCTGATATGCACAATCTTCTTGGATATATGAGCGAATTTCTACCAGTAAGAAAATTCTCATATTGTGATTGATGTGCTGTTGTGAAAACTACAACTTATAATCCTTATAATTTGTTCTACACATCATGGTGTGATTGAATAAATAGGAGAGCTAGAACATTTTTTTTAGATAATGGGACAACTAGAACATGGAATGTAGTCCGGACAACATTGATGAATCTAATCCTCCACCTCCCACCTCCGAACGTCATAGCTTCCTACGCAGGAAGTGAGCGACACAGGCACACAACGGTAACTCTCCTAACCCCTATCTTCGCCATCCACAACAATAAGAAGGAAGGAGGAAGGCATCCAAGAGAGGAGATACTAGCGGCAGGTGGCTCCTGATCGGACAGACGGAGATGGCATGCCTAGGTACCAAGCTTGATACCTATGGGTATCAACCGTGATGCTAGCGATGTACTTACAAACAACACCAACGAGCAGCACAATAGGTTGGCAAGAAGCACGATGGCTTCCAACGTTGTTGGTGCGACAACCTTGAGGCCCACATGAAGAACCCTGACGACCCCCCCGTCCACTTTGTTAGCATCGAGATCACCCTCCACACCGAGACAACCCGCTCCACCTTCGTCTTGTTGTTGGTTCCCTGGACCTTGTTCTCCTCGGTCTCGCTCCCTCCATTTCATTTCATCTCCCACACACGACAATGCCAACCTCACTGCCACAATTGGTTCCTTCCTTGCCGATCTCACTAATTCTGTTGACCCCACCAACCTCTACTCTCTCTAACGCCCTCCGATCCGGTGTAGGAAGGAAGAAAGAGGATAGGGGATAGCCTTTGACATTGGGAACAATGGTCGATGAGTCGAGGGAGGGAGGAGGATAATGATTGGTCCTCCCATTGGGGCGAAGGAGTTGACGGAGGGCGGAGGAGGGCAAAGCTACTGCTAGCTCGGTAGGGAAGACGAAAGGAATATGTTCAGTGGAAACGATCTAGAGGAAACAGATCTAAAAATAATGTTCACCCCTTAATTTATCATATGCCTCTAATAGGATCATGTCTTAGTTTTTTTCTGTTAAATAAAATATGTTATCCAACTTTTCTCTCTGATGCATATAATCCCGTGGCAACATATACATTATATGAAAAACTGTTTACCAACCGGCAAAATATCTAAAAGTTGTCGCAGGAAAACAGAGATATTATTTTTTAAGAAAGAAATTAGGTGAGTGATGATTAGAATCCACTACTGCAATGCCACAAGAAGCCTAAAAGGCAGGAATCATTTATTTGAAGAAAGAAATTAGGTGAGTAATGAATAGAAGACCCGATATAAAACAAAGCCCAAGAGGCAATGCGCCCAACTAGGCCCATTAGGAGTCCAAACCGAGTGGTCTCTAACCCAACCCAAAAAAGTCTATAGAAGACACGACACAGCTCTCTCGGCCCATCTCCTTCCACACCGGGACGCCGGCCGCCGCCGCTGCCGCCGCCCCGCGCGCCATGGAGCCGGACGCCGCCGACGACGACTACATGGGGGACCTGTCCCACTTCCTCCCGCCGCCGACCCCTTCCTCCCCGTCGAGGAGCCTCGGGCGGAGGAGGCAACCGCCGGCGCAGCAGGCGCAGGGGCAAGGGAAGCGCGCGAAGGGGGTGGTGCCATGGCAGGAGCGGCGGCGGCGGGATCGGGAGCGGAAGCAGCGGGAGGAGGACGAGCGGACGATGGCCGGGCTCGCGGAGGCCATACCGGAGACCAACGTGGGTTTCAGGCTGCTGAAGCGGATGGGGTACGACCCCGCGGCCGGTGGCGGCGCGGGCGCCGAGCCGGTGGGAATCGAGATCCGCCGCTCCCGTGCGGGGCTTGGGGCGGAGCCTGCTGTATCGGTGGCGCCGCCGCAGCCGTCGGCGGAGGTGGCGGAGGGGGAGAGGAGGCGGGTGGAGGAGATGGCGGTGGAGTTGAGGGCGAGGCAAAGCACGCAGTGGAGGAACCGGAGGGTGGTGTGGGATTACCGGAAGGCTGAAGCCGCGCTCGCGCAGCTGGAGAATCGGGAGGCTGCGCCGCCACCGCCGGAGGGGGAGGAGAAGGCTGAAGAGGAGGAAGAGGAGGTGATCACTGAAGAGGTAATTGTTCGTTGTTACTTCCAATTCTCACCAATTTTTTTTATCTGTTACTCAAATTCAATCATTCTGTTCCTGAATTACGCTTTGTTGAAACATTTCAAACAAACATGGCGCATATTATAGTCATCTTAATTAGAAAATTGGAACCTGGGTGAAGGTTTCGAAGGTTGTTGCGCGATGCCATTTGCCAACTAAACTGTCAATTGATTTTGGCGCTGAAGCATAGAAACTACCGCAGGCATGATTTATTGGATGAAATGTGGAATATGATTTACGGAATAGACCACTATACTGATCTTATCATCTTAAGCTTCAATATGGGTCAGTCACAAGCACACAACTTCAATACTAGTAGTTACTACTTACTACCCCGTGCTTTGCTGCGGGCATTGGGGATTTCAAAATAGCCAAATTGAAGATAGTCACAGTAATAATATGTTGCAAATCATTTTATAGCCTGCTAAGAAATAGCTTGCAAACAACACAATGATAAGTCACTTCTTTGCTGGCCAAATGGTAAGGATGCTTGACTATGTCAAATACTCCTAGAATACACTGAAAGAGAGCCAGTAACAAAACACTGATATGATTCCAGTGAATAAAATTTAATTCTAAGAAATTATAATTATCCTAACAGAACTGATGGGAACTGAAAGGGAACCATTTATCTATTCTTGAGTGAAATATGAATTACTAATAAATAGCAGTGTAAAACCTTTTGTGTTCAATAACGGCAAAAAACATCATCGTCCTAACGTAATTTGCAATTAGATATATAATAAAATAATATATGTTTTTAGTTCATTACATGCTATATGAAACATGTGAAAATAATGATTAACCACTTGGAAGTCATGCACAGAAGAAGAATATTCCTGCAAAGATACTTGATAACATATTTTCAGATATATAGCAGTGCACCGTCTTTACGTAGTTCTAAATCTGCAACGAGCAAGCAAGTGTGGTTGGCATCTTTCTAGGTGAAAATTGACGACAGTATCATAACATCACTCTGGCTTTCGTCAAACAAATTTTAAGCATAGTTAGTGAATGATTCCAGGACCATACCCACAACACCAATAACTGAACTAGCACCTATCTTAGGTTCTGATTGTACAGAACAATTAAAGGATAATTAATATATGACAAAGTACTGTACCAATAGAAAAGTTTCAATGGTACAGACTGAACACATACACATGAGGATGCGAGGGATGATGACCAGGAAGCGTTGCTGCTTGGTTGGAACCTGTGCAATATGATTGCAGAGCAGATGTAACAACTGGGACGTGACCAAGTTTGGGCCTTGTTATTTCTTTCTGTAGGCAAGCTAATGGTCCAATGTATGTAGGCCTGTCAAAGATAATGGGGATCCAACAATTTATCAACACGGAACGATTGATCCAATGGTTCAAATGTGCTGCTGACATGAGTAAATGTGGAGCAGCTTTTTAGAAATAAATGCTGCTAGTGGGTTGTAACTATATAGAAATAAAGGATATATTGCATAGGACCTTAGGCATTTCATCACAATTTTCCATTGTGACGAGCATGATAACTGGTATTAGTAACGCAATTGCCTCCGTGCCTATTTGGTTCCTATGAAGGGCTAACCGTAAATGCTTACCAGCTATTGGTTACACATATTATGTTGTGACAATGGAAATAGCTCGAACTTTGAATTATGAATATACTTATGTTTGCACATTCTTTCCTTCATATTCTTGTCTAGACTTCCTTTTTTATCTGAGAAATCTTATGCAAGACTGCAAATTTTGCTGAAAGGACGAGATTGACCTGTGTTTATTCTTGCAGGATTTGCAAAATATATTGGCTAAGCTGCGCGATGAACACTACTATTGCCTTTATTGCGGTTGCAAGGTCAGCTTCATTCTGGAAATAAGCTTCAGCTCTACATAGTACTAGTGTTTATGTGCATGCCCCTACTGCCTACTGGACGGCATTACTGTTGGGAATCTGTGATTACCATATCATGTTGGATCTTTGGTTTTCTCTGCATTTTAAATAGGGTGATCTTTTATAGCATCTTCCATGCTTTTAAAATTGGACGCATTGTCCCCTTTTCAGTATGAATCAGCAGAAGCATTGGCAAATGAATGTCCTGGGCCAAATGAAGATGACCATTAATTCGCTGTGTCTGGGGCAACAAAGAATGGTCCTTGTTACAACAGGTGATGATTCTGTAAGTGCAGGAATCTTGTTCAGTAATGATTTGCATACTGCGTTGGATTCCTGATGCACTGGAGCTTCAGAATCTTGTCCTTATCATACATGTTCAGTTAAGGGGTATTTGTAGACTGTAGTACTAATGGTCTAATATTTTGATGAATTAACTGTATCATGCAGGATTTGCAAGTTGCTGTAAACGATATTTTGGGACCTATACTGCGAATCACCTTTCACATTTCAGTATCACATCTCAATGTTAGAAATGATAATTCTCTTGCGGCAGCTTAAAGCTACAAGGGTGGAACTGGAAAGCTTCAGGAAGAGTTTACAGTTCTGCATATGGTATGCTCTGCTCCTCCATGTAGAAGGCTTCAAAGGAGCCCTTGCTACAGCTCTTGAAAAGTCCAAATCAAGGTGCCTCTCCTCACAGTGAAAAAGAGTCGTGTCAATGGAACAAGTGATCTGCGACATATGATAATGATAAGCAGATGGCGCCAAAGCAATTATACATTTCTGTTTTCCAATCACGGTGATAACTGTTCAAGTTGGTAGTACTGTGTTTAGGATGGCACTGATATTTTTGATTCATTCTAGCAATACATCATACACCTGTTGCTGGGATCTATCTTCAATGCAATGATGGTTTTACAACTGTGTCAAATCTTGCATGTGACATTAAGATCCATAATCACTGTTTGCTGATCACAGGCTAGCTAACATATGGTTACACCACTGTTTAGCATGATGTCAATTATGTTGCAATGACTGCATCAGTGCCACTGTATGTGTCCTCTTTGGCCATTTATGTGGGCTCTCTCCCTCTGTCGTGACATGGATGAGGTGCATTGCCTGCTGACAGCAAAAGTTTCAGTGCTCAGTGCTCTCAAGTCACAACCAAAGGTGACCAATCAATTGGGACGAAATTGAAGCAACAACCCAGCAAACAGTGGCTGGAAAACAAGAGATGCTTGATGCAAAATTCCATGGAGTATCTATCATCACAGAAAAGCAAGGTGGTAATGTTTTATTGTAGAATATATCACTGCTCTCCACTTGTCTGCAAATCTGAACATTTCTTCTCTTTTATTTTTCAGAGTGAAGAAGCTGCCAACATGGATCATCCTCCTCTCACCTCAGCCAGCCCATCAAAGGCATCAACAGAACACCACTGGTGCAGAGAGCATGCTGCAAATCCACGCTGTGCATGTGGTCTCACTTTACATGAACACACGCCCTTCGAACTGATTCTTTCCTACAATACTCAGCAGCAGAGCAGGTACATATATAAATTGTACAAAATCTTAAGTACACTTGTAAAGTACACAATGCATCAAACCCTGAAAGCATGTTTTCTCTTCAGTATGGCCCTTCACCTGGAAGGCTGGAAACATACAGGCTTAAAAGTAGTATAACAGCGTCAGAAGGGGAAGATCAAATACAGGCCGAGAAGTGAAAAGGTTGGAGCTTTTGTCACAACCAGGGAAGGTGTTTACTCTCGCCAACCGAAACTGAATCTTCTGTGGTAAGGACAACCCGGCACCAGAATAATAAGCAGAAAAAGATTCATGATGAACAACATAAGAGAAATAACATATCGAGCAGAAGTCCTCGACAATACAGCATTAACACTGATACTTAAAAATTCATGGAGAGTTACATAGATGGATGCGGCACAGCAATTAATTGAGTTCAAGGGCGCGCATTATTATTCATCACAGGGAGATTAATCGCCAGTCACCTTAGAATTTCCTTTCCATACTGGAAAGGAAAATTTGAACACAAAATAAGGGCAGGCAGCATGAGGTTCTTCAGTTCCATGACTCGCCTTGCGGGACGACAGATCGATGGCAGCTGGAACAGCCTCTACAGAGACCAATCCATCGTGTTGCTGGTTTGGTCGAAGGTGCTGCCGGACCCAGGATCGATGCGTGGTGCTGGGGCTGGACCGTTCCCCTGCAGAGCAAGCTCAAGCTCACCGGAGAAGTGGGCATGATGGCTAGGACCAGGGTGCACCTCATCAAGTGAGACTTCATGTGGTAGCTGGTGCGCCACGCTCCGACCACCACCCTCATGGCCCCGAGAACCTGTCCAGGGGCTTGGTGCCATGTAGCTACCCGCCATGGCGGAGGGTGCCACAGGATTGCCATCAAAGCTGGTGGTAGTGGACATGGCTGCAGCCTGGTTGTGGCTGGCAGCGGCACTGTGGGTAGTAGTATCCCATGGCTGGGTTGACAGAAGAGAGAGAGCACAGCTCGAGTCGGTGGCGGCACCGACCCCTGCGAGACATCCACCTGGAGGGAGATTTGGGCCAGCGAACACCGGTGGCCCTGAAGAAGAGCTACCTTGGCCGCTGTATGTGTTGGCACCATATCCCGCCACTGCACTAGAGTGACCATGAGGAGCTACGTTCCTGTGCCACTGGATACCACCGGAGATCCGATCGCCTGGTTGAATTGCTGGCCATGCATTCCTTACGCTGCTTGGAACCCTTGGGTAGGAGAAATCCAACGTAAAGCTTCTGAACCTGCGATGCTCTTCTGGATCAAGAATCGCAACAAACAACACATCAGCGAATGCAACCAGTAGTTACCAACAAACACACAAGATGCAAAGAAAACAAGAGCCTCTGATGATACCACCAACAGATGCAGCTAGTCGACCGTAGCGTGATGCCAAAGGGGTTTGCGGCCTCCTCCGGCGCTCATTATGACCTGCAAGGCGTCTGCGGCAGCTGCGTTTTCCTTGGTCAAATTCAGGCAGCAGGTGGAACCTGTCATATTATGTGAACAGAGAATCATGGATAGATTGATTCTGAATCCTATCCACTGCTGCTGTGCAGTGACTGAGTTTTTGAAGCAACAGAAGGTACATCATCTAAATTTGGCTGTTGACTCAGAAAGCAAAACGAGGCATGGCGAGCAAATTACTCCTACATGAATCAAGGTAAAACAAGCAATGCACAATGCAAGCAACTTTTATATGCTTATTATCCTAATAGATCTGCATGATGCAAGCCAAACATAGCAAACCGTAGCTCAGGTCAAAAGGCAGCCCATGCTAACTCAGAACAAGATTTCTTGTCATCCTAAAGATGGTATTACTACAAATCCCATCAAGATAAAGCAGCAACTCTCCTAGTGCCTTTCATAATTACACCCATAAATAAAAAATGCTATTCCTAACACAACAAAAGGACACCATGTGAAAGGAAGACTGTAATCATTCATGGAGTTGTGAGATGTCGGGCTTAAAATAACAGTACACAAACACTAGATGGTTATCCATCTAATTGGACGGCAGGTGTCCTACACATAAAAGCTAATGGTCCATCTGGCTTTTATAATGATGCATTATGGCATCAGATAGTGACACACTTAGCACTGGCACAGCTCAATTATAAAATCTTGACATTTTTATGAATACTCATTGTTAGTAATTTGACCATAAAGGAAATGATAGTAGCTTCAACGTAACCAAAAGTCTGAACCAAGTCTCTAACAACAATTACTACCTCCGTCCTAAATAAAGCTACAACAATCATAAAATCTTGACATTTTTATGAATTCTCATTTGTAGTAATTTGGCCCGTAAAGGAAATGATAGTAGCCTCAACATAACCAAAAGTCTGAACCAAGTCTCTAACAACAGTTATTACTTCCGTCCTAAATAAAGCTATTTCTAGCTATGAATTTGGACAGGTACATTTTGGAACAGATATATTAGTACGAAGACACTAGATATATAAGGCAACAGAAATTGTTGGTTTGCTCTGAAAAGGGGGGAACTGGTATGAAGTAAGTACAAGGCAAAGATATTTGTGGGCTAGTGCTACAAATATGGAATGTAGAAATACTACTACATATTCTCTAGTATGTTTCTCTTACTTCCCTTCATCCTTAAGGGCCCCTTTGAAACGCAGGATAGGAAAAACATAGGAATAGGAAAAACGTAGGAATTGAAGTTGTATGTTTTTCCAATCCTACAGGAATTGAAAACACATGAAATGGAGAGAAGAGCCCTTTGATTATACCACAAGATACACTCAACAAAGGAAAGTTTCACAAGAGGTCTAACCTCTTGCTTATTTTCCTATGGAATTGATCATAGGAATGCAATCCTACGGAAGTTTTCCTATCCTCTTTCTATGAATCAAAGGGCTCTATAGGAAAAAATCCTTAGGAAAATGAATCCTCCAAAATTCCTTTGCTAATCCTCCATTTCAAAGGGGCCCTAAGTGTTGCTAGTAAAAAATTAAAGCATCAAACAGTCCAAGCTATCCATAGACTATTACAAGAGGGGCAGATATCAAAACAGGCATATGCTTGTCAGCTAATGAGACAAACTATTAAATAAAAGTAACAAATGCACAGAAGTGGTAGTATAGATTATGAACAACTGGCGAGGCGTTGGAACTTGGACTATGCTACCATATGCTACCATACAGAAGTGGTAGTATGCTCAGTAGTAGTAAGGATCTATAGATAACTGAAAACCTTGAGCTCAAGTCACAGCATAGTAGGAGTTGCATATCTTGCAACACAAAGACACATATATAGTACAAACTACAAAGCAACAGCTTTAGCCAACTTCTCTCTCCCATTCTTACCGTGGCCATTGCTAAGCTTGCAACATCAACGGAATTTTATAGCTAATGGCTAATTAACTAAGTAGAGTAAGCACCAGTACAAATAAACAGTGGCTCTTACTAACACAGAGGAATCTTATGCAAAGCGGCAGGCAGGCAGGCAGACAGGCAAGTCACATCACTCAACCATATAAAGGAGTATTTTCCTCATCAACCTACCAACTTAAAAATCTCATAAGCACCAGTCAAAATATTAACACTACTAGTGTAGTACTCCCAACACAATCAAAGATAAAAATAGATGAAATGCAGGAAGTTTCAGAGAGTTGAAATCAGCTTGTTTTAGCAGGAAAGGTCCCACACACACCACTTGACAGTGCATCTAATGTGGTGGCCGTGCTCATAAACCTTAAAAACCTATAGTAAAACGAGTAGTAACAACAACACAATAACCCAAAAGACAAAACGGCACAACAATAACAACACATGTACTAGCACTAAACAAGAACAAGAAGCAAATAAACAAGAGAGATAGGTGAAAGAGGAGGGAGAGCAAGCAAAGCAAAGCAAAAGCAGTGGTGACATCAGCAATGGCGAGGTGAGTGAGAGAGTGACCTGCTGCACTGCTGGCAGAAGCGCTGCTCGAGGCCGGCGACGACGACGCGGGGAGCCTTGGAATGCATGAAGCACACCTTGTGGCGGCAGTAGTAGTTCTTGATCCCGCTCAGATCCGCGCCGCACCCCTCCACCTGGCACCGCGGCGGCGGCGGCGGCGGCGGTGGCGCCGCCGCGGCCACGCCCTTCCCCTTGTTCTTGCCCCCTCCGCCGCGTCCACCACCCGCCGCCTTGGAAGACGAGGACGGCGGCGCGGCGCTCGCGCTGCCACTGCCACTGCCAGTGCCGCCGCCGCCTGCTGCCGCGGCGGCGTCCTCGAAGTAGATCTTCTTGCCGAACTTGAGACCGTGCAGCTGGCGGTGCTCGTCCCCTCCACCACCACCGCCGCCGCTGCCGCCTACTCCGCCGCCGGCGGCGGCGGCGGCGCCTCCTCCACTGGCCATCTCCATTGCTCGCGGTCGCGGGTGGGAAGGAGACTGTAGCGCGCGTGGCTCTTGGCGCGGCCCCCCCTCCTCTTCTCCTCTCTCTCCTCCAGGAGAGGGGGAGAGAGAAGAGAGAGGAAAGAGACGGAAAGGTGGCGAAGCCCAGCGAGCGACACACACACAAGTAGAAGTAGTGCGGTGCCCTCTCTCTCTCTCTCTCTCCGCCCTTAAAAACCACTTAAAATAAAAATTATCCTCACACCCTCACACGCGCGCCGAGAAAATCGAGTGGAGATGTCATTGGTTATCTTCTTATAGCAGGGTACAAGGGCAGTAGCAATGCGTCCTAGCAAATTGTTATACCACAGCTGCAACATAGGTGGTTTGGGAACTCTAAATGACACTGCACCCACAGTATAAGTGTGGTTTAGAAAATTTATAATGGGACCCATAGATAATATAAAAAATCTCACCCTTCCCCCACCCTCCACCTAATTCTCTCGTGTCTTCTCCAGGGCGGCCATGGCAGCGTGCTCCGGCAGGCGCGGCGGAGCTCGGCAGCACCGGCGAACGGCGCGGCAGAGCTCGGCGGTGGGGCAGCCCAAGCGCGGCGCCGCCTCTCCTCCTCCAACCGGGTGGAGCGGCCCACGCGGCGACGAGCAGCAGATCTGGCGGCGTCCAGCGGCGCGGCGGAAGACGGCGGCAGCGCCAAGCGGCGCTGTCGTCGACGGTGGAGGCGCAGCACCGGAGCTGCGTAGCCACACGCGGGCCCCGCCAACGCCACCGGCGCGCGAGGAGGGCGAGCTTCGAGAGCTCTGCCCGGAAGACGGCGGCGCCGCTGAGCGGCGGATCTCGGGAGGCTCCCCGAGCGCCCCTACTCCGGCGAGCCCCACGCAGTGGCGGCCCCTACTCCAGCGAGCCTCCGCCGAGCCCCATACCCCGAGCGCCCCTACTCCGACGAGCCTCCTTTCTCTCCCTCTCTCGCTTTCTTGTTTCTCGCGGAGGTTCTTTTCTTTCTGACAAAAGTTGCTGAGGTTCGTTTGGCCCGTGTGGCCAAACTTGGTCACACGAAGCTGGGTTGGGAACGGTCCCCACTCCCCTCTCTCCTCCACGCAAGCGACTTGCCTACGTGGCTCTACATTGCCACACGCCACGTCCTTGCACTTTAAATGGCCTAAGCCAGCTATAAACATATTTTAAAAAAGAGTAAATTTCACAAAACTACAGGTATTTTTGTACAATTTATCACAAAACTACAGATTTAGTGTCTTCGTTTTATCACAAAACTACAGGTACTTTGTACAATCTATGACAAAACTACATATTTAAGAACTTGTTTCACAAAAATATAGATTTAGTGTATTCGTTTATAACAATGCTACACATTTAGTGTCTTCATTTATCACAAAACTACAGATTCAGTGTCTCCATTCTCATAAAACTATACGTTTTAATAATAGTTTTAGCATTATTAAAACGTGTAGTTTTATGAGAATGGAGACACTGAATCTGTAGTTTTGTGATAAATGAAGATATTAAATTTGTAGTTTTGTGAAAAATGAAGATACTAAACCTGTAGTTTTGTGAAACAAGTTCTTAAATCTGTAGTTTTGTGATATAGTGTTCAAAGTACATGTAGTTTTGTGATAAACGAACACATTAAATCTGTAGTTTTGTGAAACTAGTTCTAAAATCTGTAGTTTTGTGATAGATCATGCAAAGTATCTGTAGTTTTATGAAATTTACTCTTTAAAAAAATAAAGGAAGAGAGAAGAGCAGCGGGTTACAAATCTGTAGCCAGCTGCAGCACAGACTCCAAGACCTAACGTGTGTGTGATTGGTGGGACCAGGTATTAATAGTATAGTAAGCAACTATTGTATGAATTGGCTATTATATTGGCTATAGATGATTTGGAGCTTACTATTATAGCTAGCCAATCTAATAGTTTATTCATACAATAGTTACTTATAAACATATACTACACCATTAATATATGGTCCCGCCTCTCGTACACATATAACGTTTTGGAGTCTGTGCTGCAGCTGGCTACAAATTTGTAGCCTGCTTTGCTTCTCTCTCCTCTTTTTTCTCTTCCACATGTGCTTATAGCTGACTTGTAGCCTGCTATTGTACCTGCTCTAAACGAGATTCAATAAAATGTTACTATTAAATAATGGGCACTTATTAAATCTTTACGTAGACCTCTACTCGATCTCGTAGGAGAAATAAAAGAGAAATTATATTGTGAATCTTTGCTGAGACTTTTACTCGATCTTGTAGGGGAAGTAGAAGAGGAAAGGATGTTGAGATGAACATTGGGATAAGGGTGGTGAGGCTTAGATCGGAGGCGGTGATGGAGCTTCGACCATGTGGCGACACTATTGAAAAGTATTGGACAAGGGTGTTTGCGTTGGCGTGGCCATGGAGGTCCAGACAACGGATGCTTCACATCTTGGTGTGGTTGCGAGTGGCGGCGATGGACAGGGCAGGCACAACTGCCTCAAGAACCTCCAGTTCGTGTCCCTCTTTGTCCTTGCACGAAGTGTGAGGGAGGTAGTGGAGACCAAGGCCGGCGATCTTCGTTCGCTCTTGTGCGAGGGTTGTACCACTGGTAAAGGCATCAGGTTCATCTTGGAGGACCTCCCCGCCACGTTGAAGAGTAGAAGACGCCTGTTGCGGCTATCGACGAGCGCGCGGGCATGATATCTTTGATTTACGACCTCTTCCCTAGCCATGGTGGTGCTACTACTTCGTCGAGCTCTCATCAATGAGACAAAAAAAGGGATCAAGAGGAAGAAGGGCATTTGGTTAGCTTTGCCAAAGCAAACATGAAAAATCATTAAATTAAGAAGGAAAGAAATGTCATTGCGGCGTGTTGATCCTATTTGAGAGTACCATTTTATTGAATCCTAAATGTGTTATGATATTTTAGCGAAATCCCTTTCCGACGATGGCATAACATCAATTTTCTCCGGCGTGCACGGCTTTGGCTTCTCTCCATGGTACACATTCACTATTGCTTTGGTAGAAGTTACCTCTACCCAATGATATCATGGCTACCGTGGTCAGCGAGAAAAAATGGTATGATTTGAAAACTAAGATGGTTACGGCACGAGGTTAATACGGTAAAAAATAACTAAAATGGTTACCGTATGAGCTTACTGTGTTAACCATGGGGTACTCGCGCATGTATGGCCACACCATGTGGTAGCTTAGAGTATATCCGACAGCATCTCAAAATATCCATTTGACAAGCTTAAAAAAAAGTCAAATTTGACTTTCACTCCAACAACATCTTCACTGTACAATCCAATCGGATAGTGGGTCCCGTGTGTCAGTCTCTCTTTACTTTTTCTTTCTCCCTCCTTCGTCTTTCTCCTCCCACCCACCCTACCGTCCTTGCCCTCTCATAACTATTCTCAGGCGCTATGATGGTAGAGAGTAGAGACAGTGGTGGGCTCCGAACGAAGGGTGAATAGTTATCTAGGGGGCGTGGCGGCGGAGAGGATGGAGGGGAAGGGGTGGGTTTTGGCGATGACGTCGACCAGAGCTTTATGGCTGATCCAAGACCTCAGCATAGGAGTCAAGACTTCACCTCGAGAAGGCCACCCTCCGCGCGCGCCGCTGTACGAATTGGCCCACTCTCTAATTCGTGGACTCCGACAACCTAGCACCGTTTGCCTCTCACGCAACCCAGTGTCGCTTTGCCATCTCCCACCGCCCAACCCCCCCTCCCAACACCGCCAGTGCCAAGGGGTAGGCTCCGGCACAACCGCCTCCTCACGTCCAGCACTGCACCGTCCTAGCTTAACCCAACGGTCACCGTCGACGCCTCTTATCCATCAGCACAACAGAGAGAAGAGGGGAGGAATAGCACGTGAGGCACACCGTTGACAAGTGATTTTTGGCTGGCCAAGTTTGACCATCGAGGGGAGGGATTTGGCCAGCTAGATGGCATGGCCATCCAGTTGGAGAGTCTACTAGATTTTTCTTTGCTATAATTGTTACTAAAATTTTGGCGTAGAGTAGTATGTGGCAGGGTAGAGTAGTATGTGGCAGGGTTTCCCTTACCGCCGGTAACCGCGTGGTTACCGGGCTTACCGCGGGGGTACGGTAATATAAATACCGCGGTAACCTCCTTAAATTTAAATAAATTTTAAAAATAATTTAAATTTTTGATAAATTTTGCATGGTTTTTTACAATTACCGCGGTTACCACGTGGGAACCGTGCTTACCGCCGGGGCGTAGTAACCCTGATCCCGACGGTTTGAAAAATCCTGGTATGTGGATAGGCTACTAGAGATGCTAGTAGGAATAGTGTGCTGCTACCGATGGAGGAGCAGCGGCAAGGCCAGTCATCTTTGGAGCACAGTGCTTGCGGGGAGGGAGAGGGCGTCAGCGTCACTGCAGTGCAGGCAGCGAGCCACAGCTGCAACAGCAAGGGCAACAGGACCTGCCTCCAGTTATCAAATCACGCAGAAGCTATGGCTAGGTGGCTACTCAGCTTATAGCTAGTGTGAAAAAGGGGCTGAAATGTGCAGCGAGAGAGGAGAGGAGACGGGCTGGGTTGGGAGCTGTACGCCTGTACATCGCGGTGCAGCGAGAGAGAGAGAGAGAGATGGGGGGGACGCAGCGCAGGAGACGCAACGCAACAGGCCACCATGAGTGAACAGCACGGCTGCCGTGTGGCAGTGCCCACAGTGTGTGTTTCCTCTTGGGGCCCCAACCACCCTATCTACCCCCTTTGGGGGCTCTCTGAAGAAATTTTTACTATGTCCGTTACAAAGTATAAAAAATTTTAGAGTTGTACATAATCATTAAGAAAATAGATAGAAATAGAAGTGAGTGGTGAAGAATTATGATTAAGTAGGTAGAAGTGAGTGGTGGAAAGTTATGATTGAATTAGTAGTAGAGGTATGTAAGAAAAGTGAATGGTGGAGGGTTGTAACTGGTTGGGAAAAGAATGTTGGTGGAGAAGTTGTTATATTTTGGAACAAATTCTAAGGGCTAAAAATTGTTATGTTTTGGGATGGAGGGAGTATAACATAACCCCTTGTTACAAAATATTAGAATCTTTTAGATTCAAAATCTGTATCATGATATAAGTATTTTCCAGGCATTTGATTCCAACGTAAGGAGATTTATACATTTTCAGCTGATGAGATATTTCGAGAATACTCCTATATATAATCTAAGCAATTTAAAATTTGATCACAAGTGACTAAAATATTTTTTTTACTCTACCTTAGTTGTAGCTAAAGAATGTAAAAATACATATATTTTGAAATGGAGGAGGTAATATATTCCATACCCCCAC